ACCTGCCCTTTCCTGTTAAATGTTGTAGATGAACGCCCATCAGAGTTCATTGTAGGCCGGGGCGAGGACGGAGATAAGACTTTGGGTAGGTTATCTGCTGATTTCTTCTTTTTTAGTTTTGGAACTGGTTCGGTTGGTTCATGTTCTCGCTCAATTTGGTCCTTTTGCTTCTGGGACAACCTGGACCAGTACGCCGTAGCTTTGTCCCAGTCCGAGGAAGATTCGGGTTTTGTCGGCGGTGTCCGCACCAATGGCTTCTCCACAATGGCATCAATGGAAGCAAAGGCACCATCATCAGAAAAGTCTTCAGACGCATCAGAAAACACATCACTGTCGTCAGAATCGTCTTCTGCTGGCTCGTCATTGGGAACTGCCGTTTGGGAAGGTCCAGATAATGATGACCGGGGAGAGTCAAGGTCCAGGTCATCATCCCAAGCGCCAGGAATAAAGAACTGGCGCTTCTGCTTTGGTGGGCTAGCTATGCCTAGCTGTTTCTCAACATCCCCAGGGGTGGGAGGCAAGAGGTTGATGACAGGAAGATCAGCAGCAGGGGCATTTTGCGACCTGGGCGATTGAGATTCTTGCACCACTGGCTTCGGGGAGGCCATAGGCGGAGAAGCCACAGTCGCCGGAGGTACTTTCGGCCTCTCAACCGGTCCGTCCCTGAACCGTTGTACACTTCCAAACAGAGGCAAAGCTGGGCGCGGCGTCATGAATTCAGGAAGAGTCCCTGGCTCCTCTGAACGTTCATCAAAGCTAACCCGGGCCGGTCTCTTCTTGGATGCAAAACTATCCTGCGAAGTCATAGACATGGAATCATATTCACGCCTCCCGGCAGAAGAAGTTGACCGCTTCATCGCCGACTTCACAGGACTGACATCACGAGGTGGTGGTACATGACGATGGGGTTCCACGACCGGCGTCGGAGAGAAATGGGCACTGCGCGCTGGACTCGGCGTTGACTGACGGCCACGATGAGCAAAGGAAGGGGGGATTTCGAGACTTTCTGCACGCTGGCGAGCCACAGACGCTCTGGTGGGTGCCGCGGAGGCCTGCAGCAGTTTTGTTGGCTCCTTGGCGTTCTCTTCACGTGACTCGTGCACAACAGATGGCTGCTTATGGAGCAACGGAGCTGTACGCGTCGGCGATGGTCGCGACGAGCTGAGCGCCTTCCTGGGACGTACAACACTCCGAGTGTGCGGGTCCCAGAAAGCAGTTTGTTCGGCAGCCTGTTGGACTGGCTGCACAGGCGCTGGACTAAGCGTGCGCGAACCGGGACTGTATATCATCTCCGGCGGCTCTGGACTCTTCATTGGCCGCGAGAAGTTGATGGACGTTCGATCGCCGTCCTCCTCTCCCACTAGCGAGAGACGCTTGTCCGAGTGCGGCGCAACCCTCGAAATACTGCTGCGATCGACGCTGGATCCACGCGCTGCCCGGGCGGGCACAGGCGACCACATGCGACGCGGCGGCTCCATGCTGCCCGCCCTCTTGTGGCCCTGGACTGGCAGATTCTGCGGCAGGGACGGGACGGGCGGCGCATCCGAGGCAACGGATGTTGCGCGGTGCGGAGACGGCGAGCGAAAAGTCCTCTCGGTCATCGACCCGGAGCTGTTTGTCCGCTGCAGCCCGGTGGACGCGCGGCGGGTGGCGCGCTTCGTTTGGACGTTCCCGACGGGCTCCGGCGTGGCGGAGAGCGAACGGAGGGCGCTAGCGGCGGCGGCAGATGACAGGGCGGCATCCTGTTCGGAGCGGTGGTAAGCCTGGTCGGCGGCGGTCAGGGCGGCGTGGGCGGTGGAGCGATCCACAGTCTGGCCCCCGTCAATCAAAACGTCACAAAACTCTACTCTCACCACTCACCGAGCCCAGACTCTTCCGCCGGCGCGATGAAAACACGGCCATGGAGGTGGTCGCCGACGAAGCGATGCAAATGCTTTTGCTGCGACACGTGAATTACATCATTGTCGTTCTGCTGGTTCTTGCAGCCCGCAATCCGCGATCCTCAGCCCACAGCCCACCCACATCCCACGTCCCACGGGCCCATCCTGCCCCACTGTAAAACTCCCGGGGTTATATTTCACTATCTAGTCGCTAATACACACTCGACAAATAGGTATAATTGTAGCAAAAACTCCGTCCCATGAAATCATGTCAGAAATGCTGCCCATATCAGCATGAATCCTGCCCAACTTAGCCATGAATAGGCCCTCCTGCTTATCGCTCCGTTTGTCAGCCCTTCTGCATCCAGGCCCTGCGTCGTAAAGAGCAGGTTGAAGCCAATGTCGCTACTGTTGTAGCAATTGTCCCGCGTGACTTCTTGAATCTCTGGATCATGGTCATCTGCAAGGGTTACATCTACACACTTTTAAAAGAGTCAGCACGGTCCTCGGCCAAGTCTGTTCTCAAACATACACTATACAAGGCAGCACCATGTTGGGCTGTCTCGATGACCTGTATCGTAATGTTCTGACCTACTTGAAGGCTCGTGTTGGCCGGCATGCTAGTTTGCGGGAGGCAAAACTGGCCGGGATACTTGTCGTTGGTGGGGCCTGTTATCTGAAAAGGTGGCACGATTGGATGTGAATAGTTTGGTGGTGCCTTTTCATTGCCATCTTGAATGCCAATGTTGATGTATATTAATGCTTTCGAGTGCCCCCGGAACCAGCCTGGCTGCACCGAGATGGCTCCGCCCGATACTGGCCACTTTGTGCGGTTCGTTGTGAGAGGCATGCCACCGCCTTTTGGGTCACGCATTAGTACGTTGAACTCTGTCAGGTTTGGGCTACTAACATGGATACATCCACTGCATTCCAAATGGAAACGATAATGTGCCATTTTCGGCGATATCAATGCCTATTGACGACGGCGTGTCTTGCGGCAGGCTGCCGTTTGTGTGGAGATTGTTGCCTCGCCAGCCCGGGTATGTTATCACAGTATGGGCTGTGGAAAGCGAGAGAAAGGCTGCGAGCATTTGAATAGGATGATACATGGTGATTGCGTAGGGCAAGAAGCGAGGAAAGGGTCCAAACTACATGGCCACGACCGTAGGCGCCCGATGGGCAGGTGGTCGGGGCGACCTGCAGCTGTCGGCGCGTAAAGCTGCAACCCCTCCACCCCCCACCAATCACAGCTTCAGACCCCCCCGCCCAGTCACACCCATCTGGCCAATCAGCATCCGTCAGGATATAGACACCCCGGTAACTGTTCCTCCTATGCACGCAAGAAGCGTCTTGCAATAGTCGCCCCTCGTCTCGCTTCGTACGGCATCCGCCAGATGGCGATGGTAGTAGTGATAGTAGGCCGCCTTGCACTGATGCAATCTGTCCGGATTCCAGTGGATAGCCACAATTCGGCGGATAAGGGCCGCGTCTCTGGTGCCGATGCCTTCTATGGCGTCGTGGATCATATCGGCGTCGAGCTTGGCCGGGTCTTCTGCGTGTTGGAGCATATATAAGAGAGCGTCCTTCATGTGACCGAAAAAGTTTGCCGAAATGCATTGTTGCAGTGTGCGGCCATGATGGTGTTGATAAGCCTGGGCAATGGTGCGTAGTTGGCCTTCGCTGCGGTGCGCAAATATGTCGCAGATGACAAACTTGTCCGTATCGTGGCCTTCGGTTGCGTGGGCAATTGTTCGCACATCAGCTTCGATTTCTTGATGGTTAATCGGCGTCGTCTCCGGTCTCCTGCTAGCAGTCATGATCATCTCAAAAAGACGCTCCGTCTTGAGCGAGAGATCGCTCTTCACCTCGTATTCCATGCTCTTGTGATAGATTTGATGGAACCGATGCTTGATGGCATTCATATCTGCGTTCTTGCGTCCCAGCAGGATATCGTTTAGCGTCGAATTCTTCGTCCCCAGACCCTTTATGGCTTGGTATACGTTTTGGCAGTCCTCGTCCAGCGGCCCACGCAAAAGGGACTCGAGACACTCACGGAACTTGCCCGATGTTTCTGAGTGTACATCCCGCACCAGATCACGTTTATGCTGGGCCTTGTACGTCGTCTTCACACCTTCCATCTCAATCGGTCCCAGACGGGATAGTATAGCAATCAAAACGCTCTCATTGGTCCCAATGCCCTTCATGGCCTTCCTTAGCTCGCTAGCCTCAACGGCCATGAACGGTGGGGGCGGTCCATCCAAAGCGTAGCCAACAGACGGCGGTTCTGGATCGTAAGTTCGTACTCCTTCCCAATTCGGACTTGGCGGTGTATAAATCTGACCAGGCAGCGGTGACTGCGTTGGTGCGCCCGTTGGCCACTGTTGAAACTGAGGGTATGGAGCATTTGGGGCCTGTTGAAACCCTTGGTAGTATCCAGAGCCTTCAGGGGGAAACCATTGGCCACCTGGAGGCGGTCCCTGACCCGCTGCATTCCTTTAGCAGCGCCAACATCATCGTGAACCCCCAACTTACGATACCCGTAGGACATGCTTAGGTTGTAGACAATGCTGACTATGAAAATTTATATTCCAATGACGGGCGTGGCTTAGACCTTCCCAATCGGATTACCGCAGCTTTTGTAATCCGTCACAATTGATGCACCCTTGGTTCATCAGCTCTGAATGCTATGGCTCAGACGCCTTGTACATGCAACTCGGTGCTCGAGAACATCTCGAAAACAATGACCTGATCGTACTCTGCGTGACTGTCCAAGTGTGCATCTCGAGGCTGAATATCAACTCTGTTCGCTCAGCCTCCAGTGACGGTTATCAGCATCATCAGCCTACAGGCGCTAATGCACGTATACGTTTTCGGTCAGCTGGTTTAATTATCATGATCGCTTGTTTGAATGTAAAAGCTCCATCGGGAACTGAAGGAGTTTGCCAGCAGCTAGGCGGCTCCAGTTGAACAGTGATGACAATGTAAAATCTCCGACCCCAGATCTTCATCGTTCATTCCCCTACCCTTGTGTATAGCAAAAGCACTGAAACATCTCCCTATTTAATTTCAATTTTACCAAGTTCATAAATATTACAAGCACCTCTTTAAATCAACGAAGATGCAGCTTTAGCTCACTTGGGAGAGCGCCAGACTGAAGTCCTAACTTTGGTTTCAAAAGCGAATCAGGCATCTGATCTCGTGATCTGGAGGTATTGAGTTCGATCCTCAAAAGCTGCAATCATTTTTTTGCCCGTGTACATTCAACTTCAGGAAACAAAGGGAGTGCCCGCTTCTTCTTGTTTTGGGATTCAAGTTACAGGGTCCCGAATTTTGCAATGTGAGTGGGTACAAGTTGACATTGTCAAAGTCTTGCTGGGAGTGTCTAGTGTCAAGCTGACACTTCCCGCAAAAGCGCAACATCTCCGATTCCTCACAGATGGTGGGGGTGGAGGGCCATTATCCCTGTGAAGAAAATCCTTACACCGCTTCGAGGGCAGTGCAGCATACAGATCAACGACACATGATGACTACAGATTAGCCAGCATGACCTGCGACAGGAAGGTCTTCCACGGTACCTAGGTCGCTCAATCATCCCTTGACCAGCTTTGAGAGTCGATAGTAGGCAGTATACAATGTCAATCGAGGAGCATATGCTTCGTTTGATGACACATGGTGCCAACTATACTATCCTGGAACCATGTGAGAAAGGAATTCGATCTGTGGTTATGAGAATGGAGCCTTTCCGCAACGAAAAGTTCAACAGAACCGTACGCGGAAATTCAAATTACGAGCCATCAATGAAGTCAAGGGTAAGAACACCCATTATCCATACGAAAAGTCACACCTTGCGTACTCGGACAGCGGCAAGAAGATGGTCCTACAACCATCCAAAGGTCAAGTAGCCATTGCTTCAATACTTCTGAGACAGGGAATGCATCTATATCTTCGAGACATCAGCCGAATCAAAGCTGCAGTGCAAAATCCTGGGAGGGGAGGGAGGGGGGAGGGAGGAGAGGGGTCTTCTTCACCTACCGCGGGCATGTCACACGACGGGCTTGAGACATGGCAGCTGTGTAGATGTCATATCAACTATGGGGCATGTCGTGTGGAGAAAAGGTGATTTGCTGGTGGTAATCGAGCGAGGATGATCACCCTACCACACCTGGGCGAGTCTACAAGATGGTGCACAAGCGGGTAAGATCGGTAAATGACTGGAAAAAGTCTACTTCATGTACCGTGAGCTATGCCTAAAGTGCAGGAGAGCATCCAGCCCGCGAATGCGAGGATCAACAAGAAAGTGCGCAAACTGCGGAGGGAACCACCTGACGCAGTCAATGATGGCCGCGAAAGCAAAGCAACGGAACACAGAGCATTGTATGCATTCCTTTCCATGGTCGCGACACTGCTTGACTAGCCATCAGACCGTGGCGATGGATAACCTGATTGGCTCCTTCACTGGAGAGCAAACATACCGACGGAGAGCCCGACAATGCACATCTCGACATGTTCTGGGCCTTATACAACGACCTCAAGGGCCGTTATTTTCTTCGATGTGCTTGGTAGACTCGACGTATCTCACCTCTACGCCTACGGATCGAAAGCTTAAGAAGGGTGCCGCGGCAGAACCGAAGCTCATGAAGCTGAACCTCAACACTGCTCTGGGCTATTTATGTGGCTATGATGCTTCCCGGACTTACCAGACCTGGGTTCCCTCCTAGAACCGACTGAGGGATGTCCTTTTAACGAGGCAGAGCGGTATTCCCCGGCTCACGTCGAGATAGGGCAATTCATCTCTGACTTCAACCAACTGCGCTCCTGACATCTACACCAACATTTTAAACGATATGAATCTTCCCATGATCCCAGCACATGGCAAAAGCAATGCTGAAGCAGCGTCTGCACGAAAGAGGACATCCAAATTCTGGTGCGGGTTCCGCCTGGTAACTGGAGAGCGGGATGCAGCCCGAGTCTTTTGCAACCAGATCCAAATCACCCAAACCCTCGGTCTGTTGGTCTATTGACGAGCATGCAAACTCGTTACCGCACGCAGGATAGCACGCTGGGGAAACGGGATTGAGGATGCGGAGATAACAGTAATCACCGAACATGAGTCTTTTAAGGAGAAGACTTACCAGTCGACTCGACTGGTTCGCCTCCTCGACTTTATTGATCACTTCAGTCCAATACGATGGATGTCTGGCAGGCGGACCCTGCAGATGGGCTGACAAAACCTCTGCCACCGCGAAGGCATGTCATGTCCGGTATCACGATGAGCCTATGTCGTGCTAGTCTGGGCATTCCGGACGTTTCTTGCTGATGGACTTTCGCTGCTTGAAAGCTCTCTACGACTTCCGTGAATCCAGGAACCTCTGGCAGGCCGAGCCTCTCCCCCGTCCCGGGGATCGATTGCGTCTACTCCAACCAGCATCTCTTACTCTTCTACTACATCGACGACGTAGTACTCATGTACGATGAGAAGCACCGACAACACGCCGCAGCCTTAAGCAAGCCCTACGTTCATAATGGAAGTCAGCCCCTTGCCCTGGTTTACGGGAATCAATATCCTTCGAAAGAGGACCGACCGTAAGGTATGGCTTTCACTATGTGCCAAAGTCGCTGCACGCTTCGGCATCACGCCAGACGGCACACACGACGACACCTCTACCTTATCACCACACAATCACCAAACCGACGACCTTACAACACCAACCGTGCGCATGGATTTGCAGAAAGGGTGGAAGTATAGATTATTTAGCTCGCCATGTCGCGTATACGTGATAACAGCAACCATACGTCTATCTTGATCCCAAACGCGTCGTAAAGAATCTCGAATGGGAACAGTCACAATTCCATCGAAGAGACGCACCAGGATTAAGCGTGCTGGCTGTAAGAAATTTGGATTCTGCGTATCACCTGTACCAGTGACTGTATTTCTAGACTGATACATATGAACGGGCACAGACGTCCTTGACCTTCTTCGTCTGTCTGTCTCTGGGACCACCGAAAGAGCCCCCGCAGATGTAGCAGCACACCCATCCATCGCAACTTGTTGACCACCAGACATCCCCACCGGTAGGAGAAGACGTAAGTAGACATAGCAGCGCTGGAAATCGCCATCCCAGCGGCATCACGCAGTAACACTACAGGGGCGCGATCTAGACGTCCCCCCTGTCGAGCCCAAATCAAGATTAATTCGGAAACGTCAATTGTCAAATCAAAGCACGTCACAGCTGTTAAACGGTCCGGACCCTAGCTGACCGGGGGGTGGGTGGGCGGGGGAGCCAGGGTGGGTAACCCAGGGTGGGCGGGGAAATCATCTGAGGTAGCAATCCCTGGAAAAATCCCATGGGAATCATCCCTGAAGAAAACCCATGATACCAAATCTCAGTGAAGATCTCACATAACCGAAGATCATGCTCTCGCCGATCTCGAACCTTCGATCTCTCTCGAACTGCATCCCCAAAATAACACAAAAGAACATGCTCCAACTACTTCCCTACGCAAACCTACGCAAGACCGGAAACGTAGATTCCTGAAACGAACTCTCTTCTTGAGACCCCACAGCTTTGCGCAGGGAAATGGAGTGAAGTAATTACCACGTCTCGGAAAAAAGACACATGGCATTTGACAGACAGGTAGTACCAAGCTGGCAGGTGTCAGAACTGGATCTTGATAGATTAAAACCAATGACGTACATGTGAATTTGTTGCTATTTTTGTCACAAGAAACGCTTTCTGCAAAGTGTCAAGGGGTTCTGGTAGACTTTTGGAATGGGCGGCCTTGCTAAAAAAGGCTAAACTGCGCTATTTACTTGCCCGTTTCGTGTCTTGTGCTTCTGTTGCTTGCTCTTCAGCGTGTGGCTGGACCGCCGCCTGGTGCTGGGCCGCCGTGTGCTAAACTTCCTGGTGAGAAAGCTCCTGGTACTGGGCCACTAGGAGCTGCGGGCGGTAGGCCTGGTGTTTGGGTACTCGGACCTTCCTCGCTGCCACTTGATCCGTTCTCGTCCCCTCCGGCGCTGCTGCGGGTCCGTTGCCGACGTTCCTTCAACTCGGGACAACGACGGCGGTGGTTAATGAACCAGTTGCTGACTTGGGTCATAGTGATGCCAGTCTCCTGTGATGTTTGGTTAGCACCAGCTTGGTTGACATGGATGGATGGAGACTCACTCTAGAAAAGTAGGCCTTTTGCTCTTCGCTTGGGTAAGGATTGGAAATGTGTTCATCGAACCATGTTTTCATCTGCTCCGTGGCATGCTTGGGTAGGTTGCTGCGCTTGCGATTGCGGCTTCCATGGTACTCGTAGCCGTTGGGGTTGAAGTAAGGTGCCGGAAGCGGCTGCTGTGTAAAGGGATCACGCATTGTGGGCGGAGCCACAGACGGACCTAAAACGCCATCCTGACTGCTCCGCCAGCCCATTGTATCACGCAACCCGGGAAGAGACGGAGGGAGAGCCTGGCAAGTCCGCCAAGGACTATCGAAGGGATCCCACGGTCCATATGGTCGAGGGTGCTGTCCATCGGCGAACGAGGCCGAACGGCTATATGTAGCATTAGGATTAGGATGAAGCGTCGACGTTCTGGTATTTGTTATATAATGAGGCTCGCGGGGTGAGTATTGTTGTGAATTAGGATGATGGAGTGCCGTTGGCCTGCGTTCTGCTGAATATGGTGGCTCATGGGGTGAGAAAAGAGAACCTTGTGTCGTTGAGCTCAAAGGTGGATTGGTTTCTCGCCTGTTATCCAAGCCAATGATCTGCAAGAGAGAAAAGAGTCAGAAATGCTGTTCACAACGATCTGGGGTACTCATACAGTGCTTAAAGAGGGTAATCTAAAGCCCGAGTTCTGACGCGACGGTGAACGCTGAGGGGAGCGAGAGCGAGAGCGGGAGCCAGGTTGGTACACTCTTGGACGCCATCGACTCTCGAGCAGAGCACGGTGCTCTTCGGCGGCTTGTAGAAGCTCCCGCTCACCATTCGCCGCGTCGTCCCGGAGTATGCGTTGGATAGATACTTTGCCGTTAGGAAGCTTTTCCATGATATGTGTTATGCTATCATAAGAGATTGGGACAAGAGGGGTGATGGGTGCCAAGTCTCTGTAGACTGTGCAAAAGTGTGTGTCGGAGGAGAAGAGAAAGCTGTAGCGGCTGAGGCAGTCTTATAGGAACGGGTGAATCAAGTGAGAGGGGCACTTAGTCCGCCCACGGTTCCAATAGGCAATGACTCCCCGGAGCTTCATACCG